CTTCAATGTATTTTGCATGAAACGTTTTTCTCAACTCTGATTGCGGATTTTAAGACTCATTACTATGTTTGTTATAGGTGTGACATTTGGTAACATTTGATCCTCTAATAAACAAGATAGCCTTCAGCTGTAGCCCCTCCCCTTAATCTATCGGTCGACTTTAGGATCGGTGATCAGTGGGTGAGCCAGGGATAGATACATCAATTTATCGGTACCCTTTTGGATCACTGAGCAATCCCGGGAAAAGATACAATAACCAGTTCATACTTCATGTGGTCTTATCTGTTTGGGTTTTCTTTTTCGTTAATCTATTCAAGGTACAACAACACGATTAAACATTAATTAAATAGAATCTAACTGGTCTGCTCAATTCGTTTTAGATTTACTTTTGTCTTCTTATTTATCTGTCCCTAATGCAAACAGCTATTTATCGTGCTGACTCAGCAGTTCTTTTTTCAATAATATTTTGCCATTTCCGCTTGTTTCATATCTTTTTTTCCTTTTACCACCATTTATTTTTCTTTTCCCTTTGTCTGTCCTCTTCTTTTGCTACCACCACTGTTAGTAGTGTTAGTTCTCCCCTCTTGTTAACAGCTACTCTTTCTTCACTCGTGTTTTCACTTTTCGCTTCTTTCTCTTCCTTCCACTTGCACTTGCACTTGCACTACTGTTTCATCATTGCTTTTCCCTCACTCCCCACTCCCCGAACCATTCAAAGTACATCATGTGATGTAGATGCTGGTGGTTGTATCTAACTCGCACCAGAGAGTTTTACAGTACAGTGTTCCCTGTAAACTCTCTGCTCGCACTTTGACTTTGGACGATTTGAGTGGCACGAAGAAAGTCAACGCAGGAGATGGACAACAGTGCAAGATTTACCTGTGGTGTCCAAGACAGCAGCCTTCCTTCTGGGGTCATCGGCGTATTTGATACAGTCCATAGCTGGACCTTCCATTCTGTGGGATCAGATATTATATATCTAACGAAAGAGACGCCTGTTTTATACTACTACTACTACTACTACTACTACTACTACTACTACTACTACTACTACTACTACTACTACTACTACTACTACTACTACTACTACTA